CCTTCTGTTCATTTGACAGCAGGTGTTTGATAACCTGATGTCACTTGTCCCTTGCATATGGTCATCCCAGCCAAAGCGATCTTTTCAGTGGTTGTGTGCCAGCTTCTCTGGGTTGGACACCCTATGTTATTATTCTATATGCCCTATAGATGACATATCTATAGGTGAAATTGTGCAAGAAACAGACATAAAGGAATTAATGCTTGTTTTATAGCATTTTTATTTCTGAAGTCTGATGTTACTTTGACATCAGGTTATAGCTACCAGCCATCAAAGAATACATTGCCTTCCTGATTCATATTTATTCCATTTTTCTCTGTGTTATTAACAGTGACCTGGAATATGCAGCTAATATCAGAGAGAATTTCCATCTCTGCATTGCATAGATTCTCTTGGTAGAGTCTACCTCATGACTGCTAACCTACACCCAATCCCACTGCCATTACCAGCTCAGGAAGCTTCTCATAATGTACTTTGGCTTTTTTTTTTTTTTTCATGCTTTTTTCTACTCTACAGAATGTTAAGTAATAATCAATTATTACTTTCTCTTTTAAATTATGAAGCATTTCAGCCAAAGAGATAAGTAAAAAACTGTATTCAGCATCTTCTTGCAGTTGTACATCAGAAGTACAGTGCTGAGCATATAAAGCTCTCACGTCCTGGGGTCCTGTATGTATACACGACATGGCATTGAAAGATATTTTTGGCTAGCAAGCACTTTAGATTATGCTAATATCTAAATTCCCTTTTCCCATAATATTTGAAGGTTTCAACATAAAACAAGAGAAAATAAATTCAGCAGATGCAGAGCTCAGAATACATAATAAAAATATACTGCTCTACACACATACATATGCATATACAACAATGAACCAACTAGAAAAATCAGTTACTCTCTCTCTTTTTTAAAGAAAGGTAACCAGAAGTCTATAGCACATATACCTAAGTGAAATGTTTTCTAATGCTCAAAGTGAAGTGTTCATAGATACAGTTGTGCTGAATCTTCATATTTTATTTCTTATTCTTCATCGGTGAATAAAAACAAGGCTTTGGGCCCCAAGGGTGTTCAGCAGCTGAATTTCTTTGCTGCTGAAAGGAAAAAAAAATAGGTGACATTCCTATCATTTCAGAGAAAATGAGGGGGTGGAAATGAAGGAAGAACGTGCTGCTAAGAAGCACAGATCCTATTTTCTTGCAATGCCACTAATAATAACTTCAGAGTGGTGGTTAGGGTATAGATGCTGTATAAGCAAAAATAAACCTATATTAAATTGTTTTTAATGTTTGAAAGGAAAAAGTAACTGCAAAGTTAAAATCAGTTTACTACAAACACCTTTTCTGTAGTGATGTATTCTGCCTATGTTCTCCCTGGAGGTTTTTGGCATATTGCTCAGAGTTGCCTCAACTGAGTATATCTGATGAAATCTTGCCCATTCATCATTTTCTACTGAGAGATGCTTTTCCAAATGTAGAAATTAAAAACTATAAATTCTTACCCCCAAATTATTCTGGTTTCACTATGAACATTACTAATAAGTCCTCTCCCAGCATGAAGAGATTATACAGTCTTTTAACTAGCAAGTGCAGTTCCAAAGTAGACAATCATTAAAAATAAGAGATGATCCAGATTTCATAAAGACATGGCAATTAAAGTGATTGAAGTAGAATGATAAAATTATTAAAGGAGAAAGCTTCACTCAGATGTCTTTGAGTCAAACTCCCTCCCAAGGTTGGAATTCATATTACAGCTTGGACAGATGGCAACCCAGCTTCCCTTTATATACTTCCAGTTTCAAGGAGTTCATGCTTTTGCAAAGCAGTTCTTTCAACTGTCAGATGACTCTCTTTCATAGAAGGTCAATCCTCACGTTGAGTAGAATGTCTCCTGGGAACATCCATGTTTTGAATAAAGTTTTGCCCTTTGAAGCAACATAATATTCTGCATTTGTCACTGTGGGAAATGACAGGCTATATCTAACCTTGGGGTATCAGGACATTGCTTAGCAATAGGAGGTGAGGTTGAGATTCTCCTGAGTGATTTAGGAAGAGTCATGGCCAAACCAGTGCATGACAAGGGCATGGTAAGACTCAGCAGGTTCAGACTAAGCAAAGACAGATGCCCCAAATAACATCACACAAAGTTTGGACATTAATTAAGGAATCTGTACTGCAGAGGTCAGCCAATATATTGGGCATCTTGCTTCAAAGGTATTTTTAAAATGTTTGGGAGTTTTATGCTTATTTTTTAGCAGATAACTGATGTCATTTTTTTGGGGGGGGAGAGGTCTGAGTGTTATATAACAAGCATTTGGGTAAGGAAAGTAGAGAATTTGACACTATAGGATTCATCCAGCATTTTTATTATTTTTCTTGAGTGTAGTTAATATTCTTCCAAGCTGTTGGTACACTGTGGTGCTGACATAATGTGTCCCTTTTGAAGCTTTGCTTTTTCTGGCTAGGCTTCAAACCAAGGGCATGTAGCAGTTTTATTTTTCTCCATGTGTGTTCAGTTGCTCAGTTGTGCCCAGTGTGTTATGACCCCATGGACTGTAGCCTGCCATTCTCCTCTGTCCATGGGATTTCCCTGGCGAGAATACAAGGGTTGGTTGCCATTTCCTTCTCCAGGGGATCTTCCCGATCCAGGGACTGAAACTGTGTCTCTGGCATCTTCTGCATGGGCAGGTGGATTCTTTTACCACTCTGCCACCTGGAAAACCTTTTATTTGTATAGATAGATACCATGCCACCTGGAAAACCTTTTATTTGTATAGATAGATACCAAATATGTTCTTTCCATCTTCTTTACTGTTATATTTTTATATTGAAAAACATTTCTTCAAAATTGTGACTTCAGTCACATATATATATGCTAACTATTTTTGACTGATTATGCTTCTGTACATCCTCTTCTTCCTCTGATGGTTATCTCCTCTGTCATTACAAGCAAGTTAAGGACCAGAGTTGAAGAAAAGGTTCCCTACGTATTTCTGCCACTAGAATCCTCTTTTGTAGATGCCAAATAACAGAACATAAACTTTCCTCCAGTTCACTCTAGCAGCTTATACACTCCCAACTCTGCCTCTCAGCATCCAGCGCTGTGTCTCTTTTTTTCCAGTCTGTGTGTGTGCATACTCAGTTGCTAAGTTGTGTCCGACTCTTTGTGACCCTTTGGACTATAACCCGCCAGGATCCTCCATCCATGGGATTTCCCAGGCAAGAATACTGGAGTGGGTTGCCATTTCCTCCTTCAAGGGATCTTCCTGACTCAGGTATCAAATTTGCATCTCCTGCATTGGCAGGTAGACTTTTTTACCCTGAACCACCAGGGAAGCCCCAGTTTTATTGAGGTATAAATAACAAATAAAGTTGTAACATTTAAATTATGTGATGTGATGATTTGATATATGTATGTATTGTGAAAGAATTCCCCTCACTGAGTTAATTTACACATCCATCACCTCATATTTACCTCTTTTGTTTGCTTACATGCTTAGCAAATTTAAATTATACAATACAGTGCTGTCAACTGTGGTCACCATGTCATACATTATATCCTCTGCCCTTATTCATTTTATAACTGCAAGTTTGTATTCTTTCACTAATCTCTCCATATTTTTTCCATCTTAGAGCTCCTAACAACCACCTTTCTCTCCTCTGTTTCTATTTACCTTTAAAAAAAATTTCCACATGAAGTGGTATCATGGAATATTTGTCTTTCTCTGTTTGGCTTATTTCACTTAGGATAATGCCCTCCAAGTTTCATTCATGTTGTCAAAAATGACAGGATTTCCTTATATTTTTAAGGCTGAATGTACACACACACCACATTTTCTTGATCTTTTGGTCTATTGATGGACACTTAGATTGTTTCTGTATTTTTACTATTGTGACCATTGCAATGAACATGAGAGAACTGATATGTCTTTGAGATAATGGTTTTATTTCCTTTGGGTGTATACCCAAAAGTGAAATTTCTAGATCATATGGTAGTTCTATTTTTAATTTCCTGAGAAACCTCCATAATATTTTTTGTAATAGCTGAACCAGTTTACATTCCCGCCAACTGTGTACAAGTTACACTTTGTACCTTGTAGAGAGTTCCCCTTACGAGGTTCAAAAGCTAGGATTTCCCTTTTCTCTACATTCTCATTGGTATTTGTTATCTCTTGTCTTTTTGACAGTAGCCATCCTAACAGTTGTGAGTGATATTTCATTGTGGTTTTAATTTGCATTTCCCTGATGAATAGTGATATAGAATACCTTTCCATATACGCTACTTTTATGTTTTCTTTGGGAAAATATCTACTCAGATCCTTTGTCCATTTTAAAATTAGCTCATTGGATTTTCTGCTATTGAATTGTATGAGTTCTTTGTATATTTGAGATATTAACCCCTTATCAGATATTAGATTGATGCAAAAGTAATTGCAGTTTTGCATTGTTGAAATTTGCATTTTGATATAGGAATACATTCTTAATAAATCTGATTATGTTATACATCATTTTAGTACATATTTCTCACTTTATGCTTTTTTGCTAATGACATTACTTACTATTTATCTAGACTATAGAAATGATGTTAAACAAAAAAGCAAATTCGAGTGATTTTTTTATTCAAGTTCAAAATGGATTGTAAAGCAACAGAGACAACTCACGTCAACCATGCATTTGGTATAGGAGCTGGTAACAAATGTACAGTGCCGCAGTGGTTCAAAAAGTTTTGCTAAAGAGACGAGAACCTTGAAGATGAGGAGTGCGGTGGCTAGCCATCAGAAGTTGACAGTGACCAACAGAGAGGATCATCAAAACTGCTTCTCTAAGAACTACATGAGAAGTTGCCCAAGAACTCAACATTGACCATTCTGTGATCATTCGGCATTTGAAGCAAATTGGAAAGATGAAAGGACTCATTAAGTGGTGTCTCATGAGCTGACCCCAAATCAAAAAAAAAAAAAAAAAAATCATCATTTTTAAGTGACATCTTCTCTTATTTTATGCAGCAGTGAACAATTTCTTGCTCGGATTGTGGCATGCAAAGAAAAGTGCATTTTATACAACAACCGGCAACGTCAAGCTCAGTGGTTGGACCAAGAAGAAGCTCCAAAGCACTTTCTAAAGTCAAACTTGCACCGAAAAAAGGTCATGGTCCCTGTTTGGTGGTCTGTTGCTTGTCTGATCCACTATAGCTTTCTGAACCCCAGCGAAACCATTACATCTGAGAAGTATGTTCAGGAAATCATTGAGATACACCGAAAACTGCTACACCTGCAGTTGGCATTGGTCGCCAGAATGGGCCTAATTCTTCTCCATGAAAATGCCTGATCACACATCACACAACCATTGCCTCAAAAGTTGAATGAATTGGGCTACAAAGTTTTGTTTCAGCCACCATTTCACCTGACCTCTCGCTAATGAACTACCACTTATTTAAGCATCCTGACAACTTTTTGCAGGGAAACACTTCCACATCAGCTGGAAGCAGTCCTTATATGCATAGGATTATTTCTGAGCTGTCTGTTCTGCTCCATTGATCTGTTTGTCTGCTTTTATGCCAATACTATTCCTGTTTTTAGTTCTATAGCTTTATAATATGGTTTGAAATCAGAAAATTTAATGCCTCCAGTTTTGTTCTCCTTTCTGAGAATTTAGCTATTTGGGGTCTTTTGTGGTTCCATGCAAATTTTAAGATTTTTTTCTATTTCTATGAAAAATGCCATTGGAATTTTGATAGGGATTGCTTTGAGTCTGTAGATAGCTTTTGATATTAATCATGGTTTATGATTCCAAGTTAACAAATGATAGGAGAATAATAGTACTGCAAGATTTAAATGAACCATTTAAATTTTTAAAATATTGAGGTTTCCATAGAGCTGACATTTAAATGTTGACTTCTTTTTCCTTATTGAAAAGGAGAGTTTATCTTGTTTTGATCAGAAAATGAATCTTTCAGTCTGATTTTTAATATTAAGTATTACCAGGCTTTTCTCTCCCGCTTTTCCCACGCCCCAACCCCTTGTGCCAGGCCTGCCTCACTATGCGTGTTTTCTCTGTACTGAAAGAATTGCAGGCTGTACTTTCACACATAATAGGTAGTAGCTATATGTGTCAAAAATCTTGTCAATTCTGCAGTTAGACAGCTGTCAGCCTACATTCAGTATTGTTTTGTGAAATATCTGAGGGAGGCTCAATATTATGCATTTAAATACTTTGTGTCAAAGGTTTATACAGTTTTCATTGAGCCATTTAATTCAATTTCTAAGTTAGAATTTTACCTTCTGAGGCCAAAAATTCACCAAACTCCTGTAATTACTGATGATTGGACGTGCATTTAGGAATATCATCTTTCCCATTTTTAGCTATGTTGTTGGAATTTGATCAAAAAGACCACCAGATTTATATTACTCCTTAGTTTATAGCCTAGTTTTAATTTCTTATCTGTTGTGACTTAATAGGTGCCCTATGCACCATAATCACCTCAACTCACTTGATGCAACTGTCTTTGCATAAATGCATATCTCAATGTCCATACCAAAAAGTATTTATGTATATGTCTTGTTCTCATGGGGAAGGACCCTGTCAGCATTCATCTTAGTATCCCCAGTGGTTAGCAGGGAGATAGGCACAGGACAAGTGTGCAATTCATATTTTTTGAGTAAATAAATCCACCTTGAAGCAATTCTGTGCCTTTGACAATTACTTATATAAAATTTGAAAGATTATTGCCTGAGTTTATTTGGTTTTCTGAAGCCTTTTCTACTATTCAGTTTATTTGGTGGGTTATATATTTGCTCATTTCACATTGAAAGAATTCTCAAATTTGTAAAATGTTTCCTGCCTACCTATCTTCTTTCTTTATCACAACAACTCTAAAATAGTCTATAATCATTGAAATCTGGCCAAACCAATAATCTATACATCCATTCCCACCTAAATGTAGAAAGCTATCCATCTTGATCTAAAATAGCTACTATTCCAATTTGCTGCCACCTGTCATTTTCATCATTGCCATTATGAAGAATCTTTAAGCACTAGTCTCTACTTTATTGTGGCATTCAAAGAGCATAAGGGGCCAGCCACAATAATCTCTGCTTTTATAACAAATACCTAGATCAATCTGCCTTACATTATAAAGCCCACTTAGTCAGTCGCAATGCTATCTTCTATATCCACATTAACACTGGTGGTGTATTTGGCAGGACAGACTCACATTTTCATTTGTCACCATTTTACTATTCAAGCTTTGTACAGAATTTTTCCCTGACATGAGTTATCATGAATGTTTACTTTCTGCCAAAGAAATACAATCTCATTGTCTAAGAATTTACTCAGTGAACAGATCATAGAGCAGAGGAAACATCAGTTCTGCACAATGTTTTTCATGCTTAAAATGTAGCCCAGGAGTCTGCAAATAATAAAATAGCAGCTGTCCTTTGACCCAGCAGGAGCAGTACACCAGTCATAATATAGTCAGCAATAGCTCAGAACCCTGAGAACATGGTATATTTTAAATAGTCAGCTCTCAGTTGTTCCCGGTAATGGAAGACAAAAATGGGCATGGCTCATTTAGTTGAGAATGTAATTTTAAAAGACTCATGTGTACTATTAGTTTAAAGTATTTTCTTCCCCGTGTTATTGTTTGGAGTTACTTTCAAACAGGAAAACTAATATTTTAGTCCTTGTGTTCCTCCTCACTAGTATAGGCTTTAAATCTAGGAGTTATAATTAATTATTAAAGAAATGGTCAGTATAGAAGCAACAGGGGAAAAACAGTAACAGAGGTGAGATAAGAGCTACTTTAGGCTTATCAGTCCAGCTTCCAGTTTAAGGAACAATATTGCTTTCCTATTTTTGTTGTAACAAATTATCATGAACTTTGTGGCTTCAACAAGCACTTATTACTGTTCAGCTCTAGAGTTCAGAAGTCCTACATGAATCTCATTGGGATAAAATCAAAGTATTAGCAGGGCTATATTCCTTACTGGTGGCCATAGGGAAGAGTCCATTTCTTTGTCTTTTCCAGCCTCAAAAGACAGCCCACATTCCTTGGCTCATGGCCCCTTTCTCCATCTTTAAAGCCAGGTCGTAGGTTGAGTCTTCCTCACATAGCATCACTTTGACCTCAGCTTCTGCTTCCCCCTTCCACTTTTAAGAACTCTTACACTGGGACAACCCAAATAATCCAGGATCGTCTCCCTGTTTTCAGGTCATCTGATTAGCAGCCTTAATTCCACTTGAGACCTTGATTCTCCTTTGCCATGGAACCAAACATATTCACAAGTTCTAGGGATTGGAACAAAGAGATCCTTGGAGTCTTTTATTCTGCTGCCACAATAATATAATAAATATCATATTTCAAATCATGAATGTGCCTTTTGCCTTTATCTTTTCTAATATTATTGTTTTTTTTACTATTTGGCCCCTAGCATTCATCTAGCTATAAAGGAAACTATGAATTTTAAAGAATGTCAAAGAAAGACTTTTTAGAATCTCAGCTTCTGACATTCAAAAATGGAACTATTTAAAAGAATTTAAAATATATTTTGGTTCTGACTTTAATATATCAATGTCCAAGGCTTAAAGAACCAGCTTGAAGAGGTCTATTGTGCTAAAGAAGATATTCTTTACGCCTGTGGCAGAAAAGTCATGAGGTGTGTTGTTATAGAGTAGATGTATATACGATGGGAGTAAAGAAAAGTTAGCCCTTCCCCAGACCCAGGTGAGACTGGAAAGAAAAAAGGAAAAGATAGGATGTATAAGTGTGGCAAGAAGGTGGCAGGTAATCAGAGAGGGCTGTAGGGGGTCAAGTCAAATGTTGTCAGCTGGCCAGCCACAATAATCTCTGCTTTTATAACAAATACCTAGATCAATCTGCCTTACATTATAAAGCCCACTTAGTCAGTCGCAATGCTATCTTCTATATCCACATTAACACTGGTGGTGTATTTGGCAGGACAGACTCACATTTTCATTTGTCACCATTTTACTATTCAAGCTTTGTACAGAATTTTTCCCTGACATGAGTTATCATGAATGTTTACTTTCTGCCAAAGAAATACAATCTCATTGTCTAAGAATTTACTCAGTGAACAGATCATAGAGCAGAGGAAACATCAGTTCTGCACAATGTTTTTCATGCTTAAAATGTAGCCCAGGAGTCTGCAAATAATAAAATAGCAGCTGTCCTTTGACCCAGCAGGAGCAGTACACCAGTCATAATATAGTCAGCAATAGCTCAGAACCCTGAGAACATGGTATATTTTAAATAGTCAGCTCTCAGTTGTTCCCGGTAATGGAAGACAAAAATGGGCATGGCTCATTTAGTTGAGAATGTAATTTTAAAAGACTCATGTGTACTATTAGTTTAAAGTATTTTCTTCCCCGTGTTATTGTTTGGAGTTACTTTCAAACAGGAAAACTAATATTTTAGTCCTTGTGTTCCTCCTCACTAGTATAGGCTTTAAATCTAGGAGTTATAATTAATTATTAAAGAAATGGTCAGTATAGAAGCAACAGGGGAAAAACAGTAACAGAGGTGAGATAAGAGCTACTTTAGGCTTATCAGTCCAGCTTCCAGTTTAAGGAACAATATTGCTTTCCTATTTTTGTTGTAACAAATTATCATGAACTTTGTGGCTTCAACAAGCACTTATTACTGTTCAGCTCTAGAGTTCAGAAGTCCTACATGAATCTCATTGGGATAAAATCAAAGTATTAGCAGGGCTATATTCCTTACTGGTGGCCATAGGGAAGAGTCCATTTCTTTGTCTTTTCCAGCCTCAAAAGACAGCCCACATTCCTTGGCTCATGGCCCCTTTCTCCATCTTTAAAGCCAGGTCGTAGGTTGAGTCTTCCTCACATAGCATCACTTTGACCTCAGCTTCTGCTTCCCCCTTCCACTTTTAAGAACTCTTACACTGGGACAACCCAAATAATCCAGGATCGTCTCCCTGTTTTCAGGTCATCTGATTAGCAGCCTTAATTCCACTTGAGACCTTGATTCTCCTTTGCCATGGAACCAAACATATTCACAAGTTCTAGGGATTGGAACAAAGAGATCCTTGGAGTCTTTTATTCTGCTGCCACAATAATATAATAAATATCATATTTCAAATCATGAATGTGCCTTTTGCCTTTATCTTTTCTAATATTATTGTTTTTTTTACTATTTGGCCCCTAGCATTCATCTAGCTATAAAGGAAACTATGAATTTTAAAGAATGTCAAAGAAAGACTTTTTAGAATCTCAGCTTCTGACATTCAAAAATGGAACTATTTAAAAGAATTTAAAATATATTTTGGTTCTGACTTTAATATATCAATGTC